TCACCTTTTGCAGTTCGTCTAGCCTGACATAAGCATTAGAGGAGCAACAGCATCTGCAGTGTAGAGAATCAGACAAACAAGGGAGTTGCAGATGAGTGGTGACTTAACAGATGAGAGCTCACTGTGTTAGAAGAGGTTTCCTGCAGTAAGTCCTCCAGAACTGCACCAGCTAAAAATTCACATCCTTTGGGTACACATATGCCAGTAAAGTGCAATTCAGGGATTCTGTCTGGAGATGGCAAATTTCTTTATGGGTCATTATGAAAGCAACAATACAGTTATAACTGGATAGTTTATTGCTATCAAAATTTTGGAAGGAAGAAACACTCCTGTCTGCTTCTCTGAAGGCTGAAAGCTTAGCACAGATAGGAAGATAACAGGACACTAGAGTCCTTTTATTTTGGTACTCAAAAGCCAATAAATCAGTGTAGGGGTATCTGTTGTAATTTCTGCTTATTTTCACAAACCTGGTGAAAAGGTGTTTTACATGGTTTTATGTGAAAAGGTGATAAGCAGGTGTTTTACGTGGGTTGGACTTCAGCTGATAGCCATTTATTTGCACCCTAGCCTTGGATACTAATAAAGCAGACTGACTAGCTTATTTCATGAAATGAAAATAAGGAAAGCAGCACTGAAACCCAAACCTTCTCTTTGGTTTGCCATTCAATCCGGAGATAAAGATGAGTGTCTACAGGATTTGAACCTATCTGGTATTACATATGAGTCCTTTGAAAGAAGAGTGTACTGATGCTTGTGGGTACAGCTTGTGACTGCTGGTGTGCTGACTGGCAGGAGAAAAGGAAAGGAGGTCTTGGTCCATCAGGAAGAGTCTCTCATGTCATGTATCAGTAACCTGTGAAGAAAAGATGGTGACTGTGGTGCAAGCTTTGGCATGGATAGTTAAAATTTTAAAAAGTTTGAGAGTTCTTAATGTAGTAAAAGGATGCAGGTGCCCATGATGTAGAACACTGCAGGAACATGAAGTTGAAGCTAATCCTGCAGAAAATTTAATGCAGCTTAATACGTAGTACAGTGCACCCTAGCAAGGCTCTCTCTTAAATATCTACTTGCATGTGTAGCCTGAGTGCTAAAGCCACTCAACTTCACTGTGTTTTCGTGCATAAAATGCAAGAGAAAGCAGCACTTACTGTATGAGAGACATAACCTACATTGAGAGACATAACCTACCTTACTTATTAATTTATACAAGACTGGAGTCTTTTCTTGATGTAGTGCTCCTTACATCAGAAAATTTTGTTTGCAGAAATGTAGTGGCTGAGTCCTTGAATACAAGTAATCCAATGCATGAAAGTATGGGGGGACAGAGATGAGGAGCTCTTCGCCATTGCGCTATTGGAATAGTATTTGGAAAAGTAGGCAGCTGAGAAGGGAAGGGCAGAAACCACCTTACCAATGTATTGTTGTTTATTTGTTGACAGTAGTTAGAGTTGGTCAGGGTGGTCAGAGGACACACACATAAACACAGTAGGTTAAAGAAAGGCTGGAGATGCTGCCACCTGCCTCCCACTGTCTTCAAAGCAAATATATTGAGTAAAAGCATACCTGAGGAAAACAAGTTAGACCAGTAGGTAGGTAGCTTTGTGGTTTTGCATTTCAGGAACATGGAGCATCTCTCCTATGAAGAAAGGCTGAGAGGGTTGGAGTTGTTGAGCCTGGAGAAGAGGGGGTTCTGGGGAGACATAAGGAAGAAATTCTTTACTGTGAGGGTGGTGAGGCACTTGAACAGGTTGCCCAGGAAGTTCCATCCCTGGAAGTGTTCAACACCAGGTTGGATGGGGCTTTGAGCAACCTGATCTAGTGAAATGTGTCGTTGCCCATGCCAGGGAGTTAAAACTAAATGAGCTTTAACATCCCTTACAATCCAAACCGTTCTGTGATTCTGTGGGAGAGACATAGTATTATACCCTCTTCTGCAGACAAAAGCGAGTAAGATACTTCAGTGCAGACTGAAGAAATCCAGGTTATTTTTCAGTCAAATTTACAGTAGGAAATAAGGTGCATTTCTGTGGTCTTACTTATTTGAGAAATTGCTTTCTGGTAGAGTTAATGGGGGTAAAAATAAGACCCTGAAAAAACAGTGCTGCTGCTGGTTTCCACAAGTGCTTTTCATGCATTCGTTCCTCAGCTGGGCTTCCATCTCTGATGCTGTCAGTTACTGTGCTTATAAACACCAAAAATACATCAATAGAAGGTTTTGCAGGTATCTCTGTTATATTTCATATAGGTAACACTATGAGAAATTATTGATTCTTGTAATTGTTTATGGTGGCTTACTTTTGTGCTGGGACATTATCCTTAAGTATCATAAAGTTTCTTTACAAATACTGTCTTTGAGAGCATTTCAGACAGACACAGGATTTTCCATGATATCATAAAAGAGGGAGTTGCCTACTCTTTGTCCAGTTCTTCCCTTTTCCTGAATAAGTAGCTGCAGTTGTATCTTCCTCAGCGGATTTATTTTATCCTGTACCTCCTTGTGCTTAATATAGCTCCAGAAATCTCTGGTCTAAATGGAAATATAAATGACTCTGTTCCAGTATAGGAAAACAATCCCAAAACACAGCTATTAAATAAAGATCACTGAGGAAAAGGAAATGGGTCCTTTGCTTTTATTTTGGAATTGATTAACTATTAGTATGTCTTACCATTTTGGATACTAAAATCTATCTCAGGATTTTAAGAAAACTTGCTTTGTAAAGCAAGGAAAGAAGTCTTGTGAAATCCTCATCATGTTAAAAGTGCTTTCTGGTTCATTATTTAAAATTCCCTTCAGCAGGAGCTGAGCATTCATCTCAACGGCATCCTTCACTGTAGAGGATTTGCAGCAGTGATAAGTTTGTATCCATAAGTTTGCAACCTTACCTCGGAAATAAAAGTGTATCAGGCACCATTAAGTAACTACTGGAAACTGTTTACTTGAGTGGATACACAGTAAGATGTTAGTGAACTTCATTAGCGTATTTGGGGGGTGTTTTGTTCTTTATGGAAACATATACTTCATGCTCTTGTGTTTCACAGAGGATAGCTCATAATGCCTTAGTGCACAGATGGATGTGATACAGCAGCCACGCTATTTTATCCTCTTCTGGGTCCCTTCTTTATATTGTGGTGTCCAAGTGTCTTTCACTGCTACATTCAGATGTGATGGGGGTTATTTTCTGATGAGGGCACAGAAATATCTGCTTAAGGAGAACAAGCAAGACTTCTGAGAAAATGGGGCTTGATAAGGAAAGATACATATTGGATAAGATTACTGCTAAAATGTTAACTTCCTTCTTTGCAATACCTAAATATGTGGAGAGAACACAACTTTTCTGGCTGTGTATGCTCTGTGTGTACACATGCTGCCTCAGGAAATGCCCGTAGAGCTGCATTATGCTCTATTGTTGTCATGTACATCTTTGTAGTCCTGCTCCCCTCTTTTTTCTCCCTGCCTCCACAGAGAAATGGAAAACCTTATGTAAAATTGTCATTAAAAAAAAAATGTTATTATAATGGTAGCACTAAAGATATTACTTCAAATAATAACTACATCCTCTGTGGGTTTAATTATTGTTTTATTGGAGTTATTCTTCTTTAATTTGTTTCATATAACAGTCCTCAGGAAAACATTATTAGCGACTATTTTCAGGGATATATGTGGTTACAAAGAAAGGGAGTTGTACTTTTCCGCCTTCATCTTTATTAGCTTTTCTGCCTTGTTCATCGTTATGACATTTTGATAATATCCAGGTTAACTGTAGTAGTTTGTCCTGAATGTGGAAAGACTAAAAATATGTGCAATAAGAATTTCATCACAGATGGGATTTTTATTTAAAGCTTTGCTTTAATGAAATATAATAAAAGTTTTGCATTTCTTCCCTTCATTTCTGCTAATGCTTCTCTTTACTTTCACATTCTTTTTTATAAAGATATCTGTTTTGGACAATAGTTTTTGATGTATAATCTGATGTCAGTATGGCCATGGAGAAAGGGCTGAGCAAGATTATAAAGGCTGTTCATCTCTTAGCTTGCCTTCTAGCAAACCCCTGCACAACCTCACTGGCACAGCAGCCTGCACGATGAGCGCTCTGGGGCTTGGGAGGCTTCCTCTGAGCAGACAGAAATGGTCATGAATTAGGGGCAGAAGCAGAAAAGAAGCACCTCTAAAAGTCTGTGCTGTTTAGGTACTGCCTGGATTAGGCAACATGTAAAACTGAAGTCTGGCTTTAGACAATTCCAACTACTTCTTTTGGAGCATTGAGTTCTGTATATTTAATTTTCTAGTATTTAATGGGTTTGAAAGAAGCATTGGCAGTCAGAGTAATGCACTTAGTCAGTTTGTATAGTTTGTCTGAAAACCATAGTAATAGGAAAAGCTGTGGTGGAAAATCTGTTTTACTAGATTGTTATTTCTCTGTTGAGTGATGGAATGCTTTTGTTTGACAAAAAAAGCTCTTAAGGAAAACCTAAGGTATAAGCCACAGTAAATCATACAAAGTTCTTGCTAATTTTTACCCCCTATAAAAGCAGTTTAGTTCTAGTTTTTTCTTCATACTCAATTATATATTGTAGTCTATGTACTAAATTACCCTGTTACTGAAATTAGATGATGTTTAAAGTGTTATTCATTGATAAGCAGCAGGCCCAGGTAGGTGAAGAGCACTTATAGGTGCTTCATGTTAGGGACTGATTTGTCTGGTTTGTTTTCAACACTTCAGTAGTAAAAGTGCTAAGAATGCTGTCTCCCCTTACATAAAACTGTTAGCCTCTGAACTTTTTAGGTTTTGTATCACAGGGTCAAGAAGCCTGCAGAGTTATAAAATTTAACACATAACAAATCCTGGTGTTGCTAGGCACTACTTTAGGTATTCTTTCTGCCATGTTTACACCTGTAGCTAATGTTTGTGGAAAAGTTTTTGATTATATTTTTTCACTTATTAGATGATCCAGGATTTATTATGTTAAATCAGTTATTAATTTTTTTTCTGTCATTTTAGGTCATTGGAATATTGGATGTGTTCACACCAGATGTAACACTGGAGAAATTTAATGACTTGTAAGTTCTGAGTTGTTTGTATTTTGAAGCAGGGCATTGTTGCCTGTGTGTGAGGAAGGGTTGTTACTTTTTCAAACAGAGAATTTCAAAATTGTTGCTTCATGGACTTTTTTTTCTGAATTTCATCTTAATATGACTCTTACATGCAACTTCCAGATTGGTAGGCTGGGGGTTTCAGGGTGTTATTAGAACCAGTTTCCTGTCTTACAGGGTGTATACTTGTTTCAGCCCTTAGTAATTGGCAGTTTGGTGTATTTCCTAATCCACCTTTCAAGTATTGATTTTTTTACCCTAAGACCCAGGTTGCTCAAATGATAGGATAATTCTTAACCCAAACAGGTAGGCTGAAAGTGATGCCTACTACATTACACATCTCAGTGGGGTCTGTCCTAACTCAAGGATTAATTAAAAACTGCTGATGCTGCTAAATTTTTTAGTGATTATCTGCACTGTGCTCGGTTGCGCTCCCTGAATGTTTTCCCAGTCCAGTGGTCCAAACAGCAAGAGATACAGATTGCTTCTACCACATCTCCCTGACTTTTTAGCAGCATCTCAGACACAAGACGCGTAGCAAGTCTGCCATTTTACTTGTGGATCCTGCTGCAATTCTTATAAATTAGAGTCATTAGATAAACAGCACTCAGAAGTCCTGTTAGGCTTAGTGTAGATTTCCTGTAGAACTGTTCTGGATTTCATCTAATGTAGCTATGTTTCCAAAACAACCTTGCATATTTATATCTTAGCAAAGAAAGCTATCTGACAGAAAAATGTAGAAAATTAAGTACAGAAAACATAGAGCGTGTGTTCATATTGATCATTGAGCCAAAAGGAATGTTGTCCATATTGCCTATTGTGCTAGCATTTTATGTAACATATGTAATAGAATGCGCATTTATGGATTAGCATTGAAGCACTGTGTTTTAAATGAGACCCTAAAATCATCTTCCAAATTTTGGAGGTGCAAGTCAAGTAGAAAAAATATTTTCATTACTGAAATTGCAACAAATGAGTCTATGGCAAAATTTGCTTTCAGGCCCATGGGTGAACTGTTAGAGGTGAGCCAGAGGTAAATGTGTGTACATTTAAAACAAAAGTGAAGAAGCAGCTTTTGTGACTAAAGGTTAAATAGGGCATTTGAGGGATACTCTCTTTTTGATGACTAGTCATGAGATGTTCGTGACTTCTTCTGTAATGATCAAATTCAAGTGGGTCTGTGTGTAGAAGCAGCAGAAACAAGATGTGTGGTTTCACAGAGCCAGTCACTAAGGTTGATCTTGTCTGACACTTGAGGTTTCTTAGCTGACTTCTAGTCCTCCTGTCTAAAGGCGAGCATGTTCCTCCTTAATCTGCCATTCTTCTCTCCTGCTCCTCTGCTCTACCAGTCAACAAAGATTGTATTAACAAAGATTGAAGGCAAAGTCTTGCTTACTTTATGAAGAAACAGTCCTTTCCCTGCTCATGTTTGCATTGAAATTCCTTCAGGTTTAAACGTTCGGTTTATTGAAATGGTGTACTGAATCAGAAATGCATAAATCAATTTAAGTCCTTTTCTACCAGCTGCTGTTCACCCCCTTCATTGCTATTCCTTGCATTGTCCATGCTTGTATCATACATATTGTGCCAGAATGTGTTGCTGCTCCTTATTTTGTAAGAATTTGAGCTTTAAATGAAACTTACAGAAACATAAATGCATTAGGCATCAATTTCTCGTTGAAGTGAACTACTAATCTTGTGCCTAACCTCCTCAGATTATTCAAGGACTCCAACTGTGGATTGTAAATATATTTTTAATAATAATAAAAATAAGATTGCAAAGTTTTAAGTAATAGACAAAATGCTGAAAGTGAGTTTGTAGTGTTTGATCCCATTGTTGTCCTATTCCAATATGTTGCTTATAAATCATTACTCCAGTCTGAACTTTCAAACTCAAAAAGAAGTGGATTTTTCCTCTCTTACATTTTGGTAATTTTTCGACCCACCTAGACTTCTCTCTATTTGACTGTAAGAGATTTGAAGTCATCACTTTATAAACACAGCAAATTGTGCATATGTAAAACTGCAGTCTTATTTCTTCTTCTCTTCCTGCTCTTTACAGTACCTAATGATTATATATTGGTTTAAACTTTGTCTATTCACACAAATCACAACCCTTAACCCTGCACAGGACCATTCTCAGGAGTCACACCATGTGCCTGAGAGTATCATCCAAATGCTTCTTGAACTCTGCCAGGCTTGGTGCTGTGACCACTTCCCTGGGGAGCCTGTTCCAGTGCCCAACCATCCTCTGGAACCTTTTTCTAATATCTAATCTATATCTCCCCTGAGACATTCCCTCGGGTCCTGTCACTGATCACCACAGAGATCAGAGTCTGCTCCTCCTCTTCTCCTCACAGGGAAGTTGTAGACTGCAATGAGGTCTCCCCTCAGTCTCCTCCAGGCTGAACAGACAGGAACATGAACAAAGAAGCTGAACTCCATTTTCAAAGGCACTTGGTTTGTTGATGGGAAACATTTTGTGTGTTATTCTGGGAGGGAGATACGAAATGTTCCCTCCTCTATGTTTACACTGCCCTTATATAGTCACAGAATTAAATTGCTCATCCTTTGTATCCAAAGGTTAGTGAACTTGTCGGTGAATGCTGGGACTGGGAGCCTGAGTCCTGATCCCCAAAGTCGTGGGAAAAAAATGCTTGGTACCTAGGACATGTTGGAAATGCTACCTATAATTCCTAGTGACTAAATCAGTTTCTTTATAGTCAATCTCTCTTTTGTTTTATAGCTGCATTTCTAGTAGAATAAATGCACTTTTCATGCAGGTTTAATAGTAGAAATCAGAATTATAATTTGCATATTTTAACTAGAAGAAACCCATTTAGATCTAAATAATAAAATCTGTAGCTATGAAACAACAATCATATCTAATTCTTCCCTTCATGAAAATGCATCTGCTTGTCCTCATCAGAAGAGGAAAACTGATTACTGTATCCTCAGGTGCCAAATGTGATTGGCTCTGCCTGTGTTCAGAAATTCTGAAGGATGAGTTTACTACATGCAGTGTGAAGAACAGGTTTGGATCTTAAGTGAAGATTAGCTATGAAATATCAGCTTGGCATTCTGGAGTTTTCAGTTGCTGGTGTCCCTTACCATTATGACGTATTGAAGATCCCAGTTTATGATCCCAGATGAAAATTAATGACAGTTATTGTTGCCTCCTAATTTGATCAACTTTATTTCTGTTACATCTGGCCTTGTCTGTTTGAATGAACCACCTAGGCACCTTGGTTACTGCGAGTTCAAGGCTATGATCTTGATTGTGAGAGACATGGTGTTGCATGAATGTCTGTTTTCTGTGTAGCTGTCTTTGAAATATCACAAAGCTCTTGTTAGTTTCTTTCTAAGCTAGTTCAGAGTCTGCACTCTTCTGATAACTAGCAACTTTCTGTAATTGGTGACAGGGTTGGGCAATACCTTTTCATGACAATCAGATAAACATGGAGAAACTTGGAGGGCAGGGGGATGATAAAGGAACTGTTTGGTAAATGGAACAATCTATAATTTAATATTGTCATTGAACTATAACATACAATTATGTTTCAATTTATATGACAAATTAATCAAGTTGATCTGTTTGGTTTTGTTTTCTTTTTTTGTGTTCTGTTTTAAGCTACCTCGTCATGCCATTTATGGGAACAGATTTGAGTAAGATAATGAAGCATGAGAAACTAACTGAAGACCGAATCCAGTTCCTGGTATATCAGATGCTGAAAGGCTTAAAGGTTTGCCACTTCTACTGTTATTTTGATGTTCAAAGTCTTTTTTCCCAGCAAACCATTATGGAAAGCTATAAATATTTATAATTTGATAGCAGGATAAAATTTTTCTCACTTTATATAGGAAAAGAATGCATAGAAAATATGATTTTCTAGCTAAACAATCCTGGCTGTCTCAGTTTCTCCTCTTACGTTAGATGCTTCAGTCACATAATCATCGTCATGAAGCTTCATTGGATTTGGTTCAGTGTGTCTCTTTAACTGGAAAGACCAAAGCTGAACACAGCACTCCAGGTGTGTCTCACTAGAGCTGAAAAAAGGGGAAGGATCACCTACCTAAAGTTGCTGGCAATCCTCTGCCTAGTGCATGAGGCTTTTGGTTGTCTTTGCTGCAAGGGCACGTTGCTCACATTCAACTTAGTACCTTTAGGTCCTTTTCTGCCAAGCTGGTCAACCCCCAGCCTTGTTTGGCTCCTGAGATTATTCCTTCCCAGGTACTGAATTTTGTTGAACTTTGGTGGGTTCCTGTCGGCCCATTTCTTCAGCTTGTGGAGGTCTTGCTAAACAGCAGCACAACCATCTGGTGTGTGAACATTCTTCTCAGTTCTGCATCCTTTGGTGAGGGAGCACTCTGTCCCATCATCTACGTCAGTCATGAAGATGCTAAACAGGACTAACTTTAGTACTGGCCCTAAGGGGGCCAGGGCTAGTGATGGGCCTCCAGCTGGACTTCCTGCCACTGATCACAACCCTTTGATCAAGACAGTTCAGTCACTGTTCATTAATCTAACTCATATTCCCCTGTCTCTTAAGGTGTTATGAGAGAGTTTAGAAAGCCTTGCTTGAGTCAAGGTAAACAGCATTGACTGCCCTCCCATCATCCACCAAGCCAGTCGTCTTATCATAGAAGATTAATGGGATAACGAGGCGTGATTTTCCCTTTTGTAAACCCATGCTGACTACTGTTGCTCAGCTTTTTATTCTTCTAACCATTGGAAATGGTTTCCAGAATTACTTGCTTATTACATTCCCAGACAATGAGGTGTGGCTGACTGATCCTCTTCTTCCTTAGCCTTTTGAAGACATGAGCAATATTTGCTTTCTTACCATCATAAGGAGCATCTCCTAATTACCATATTATTAAGTGACCTCAAAATGACATTGTCCAACTTGTCTTAGAATTCATGAGTGCATCCCATCAGGGTATTTAAATGTTAAATTTGTGTGTGTTTAGATGTTCCCTAATCTGATCCTCCTCCACTGAGGGTGAGTTTTCCTTGCTCCAGACTTTGCCAAATCATAGGTCCCCAAAATCACTGGAAAATATTACTAGTAAAGATGGATGGAAAGGAGACATACTGAGTACCTTAGGGGTTTTTTCCATGCCCCTTGTGCCATTGCCTGTGTTATCACTGTTTTTTTTTTTCCTCCTGATTTGCATGTAGAAGCCCTTCATGTTAACCTTCAGGTCCCTTACCAGGTTCAGGACCAAGTGGACTTCACCTTTCCAAATTCCATCTCTGCACACTTGGACAGTGTCTCCACATTCCAGCTGGATGACCTGATTCTGCTTCCACCTTATGTCCACTTCTTTTTCATGTTTTCAGTTTCTCTAGCAATTCTACATTCACCATGCAGGCCTCCTGCCACCTTTGCTTGATCTTGCCTTCTAGAACCTGTTTTTGTTATGTGCTGACATTTTACACTCTGAAATTAGGAAAGGATTCATAAAAGACTGTAAGTGACCATTCAGATTTGTCTAGTTTTGAACTGTGTAGGAACACTTCATCTTGTAGCTCTTCCAGTAAGTTTTGACTTAGCTGCAGCATGGTATCTTGGGAAGAATAATAATTTCATTGCATCATTTTCTTATACTTGAACAAAAAGTATAACCAGATATAATCCCTAAGGTATCTTTTACCTTAGATCTCTTTTTTTTTTCTTTTTTTTTTCCAGATAATGACCCTGACTGTAAGCCTGTTAATCCCCTACTCCTTCTCAGAAATAATGTTTATCTTCATCTCTCTTATACTTTTGTGGACTGCAGAGCTTATAACTATAGCAAAACAACATAATCTTGAATTTCACTGACTCTCACAAGAACGATTCTAAAAATATTAGCCATCGTCTACTTTGTTTTTCTTCCTCATGATTTGCTAAATACTGTTTATTAATGCTACTCCTTTTTTCCTCTGTTTGACTTTTAAAAATCTGGTTGTGATTATTGAAGTTCATATCATACAACACAAAAAGAAGATATCTTGAAGCTCCCTGTTTTTATCTATAATGTATATTAATGTGATGTGAAAATGATTCTGGGTCTAAATTAGTACTATAGTTCTTAAATTACAGGGTTTGCTTTTTGGGTGTACACAGCGGCTGATTGTGAAAAGGCTACTACTTCCTTATTACTTTTTTTTTCTTTTGGTGACACAATCCAAGAGAAGAGAAACCTTGACCTGGTTCTGCAGGCTTCAGCCAGGCTCTCCTGCAGTGACGGCTGTTTAATTCCCTTTGCTCTCTAGAGACACAGGGTGTAAGGAGGTTGTGGAACAGCACTGTCTGAAACAGAATGTCATTCCTTGGCTGCTGATGGCACAATTTTGGTCTTATGGTCCTCTGCCTGCAACAAACAACATAAGGGTGGGCTTTCCTCTGTGCTCATACAGAGATAAGTGAGGTCAGCATAGAGATGTGCTTGTGCAGTGGAAATACAGAACTGATTTTGATACAGGAAAGTCTAGCACATCCATCAGAATGCTGATTCATCCAGATCTATATTTGCATTATCAAACACTATTAAAATATAATTAATATAGCAGAACAACGTGCTATGCCTGGACAGGAACATCAGGAGCAGCAAGCCCATGATTCCGTTGTCTCTTAGTACTTGAAAGATCCAGAAGGTTACGTAAATTTTTTTACTCCTATCACAAAACTTAATAAATATACTTTGTTGTTGAGTCCTGCATTATTGATTTCTCTTTGACCCTACCTTGGATTTTGTGTTCTTATTTTAGTAGATTTTTACTCACATAGCCTTTTACATACAGTAAGTAATTTTCCTTTGTATTCTACAGTTGTGCATTTAAGTGGTCCAATTCCCATTTTACAAATGCAGAAACTGAAGCCAGGTTTGAGGAAATTGGTTTTATTTAAACTAGTGGGAATTCACCTCCAATCTGGACTTTGAATGTGGAGTTATGATTTCAGTTTTGTAATTGGTTCCCTAGTTACAAACCTATGTCCTAGTAAGTGTTCTCTCAAGGACCATATAAGTGGAGTGGTCTGTTTGGTTGCAGGTAACTGTCTGGGAAGCAGATTTCCAGGAGAGGCATGCTACTCACCAAAGATGAAAAACATCATTTGCAGTAACGTTACAGGCAAGAAATATATGAACTGTAAATAATTAGCTTAAGCTGAGTGTAGTGGAAAGGATGAATAATTAATTTAATTTCAGTGAAATGGCTTAGAAACATAGTTTGGTCCTAGTGACGTACATTATCTGACAGAGGTTAACAGAGCAGAGCTTGTGAGCCCCAAAGGCTGACACTGAAGTCTGTTGGATCAGTAAATATGGAAAGCAAGTGGAGCAACTGCACATGGTTGACATACATAGGAAGAAAACAGAGTAGGAATTTAAGAGGATGTATTGGGTTTGTGTGGTAGGGTTTGTTTGTTAGTGGAGTGGAGGCTGCAGGTGTGGCTTCTGGGATAAGACAGCAGGAACTGCCTCCATGTTGAACAGTCAGTTCCAGAGGGCTCCAAGACAGTCCTGCTGACGCCTAAAGCTGAGCCCATCGGGGATGTTCATGGCACCTCTGTGGTAACGGATTTAAGGAGGGGTAAAAAAATGCTGTGCAGCAGCTGTGGGAGGGGAGCGAGAAAATGAGAAACGGCCCTGCAGGCACCAAGGTCAGTGAGGAAAGAGGAGGAGAAGATGCTCCAGGTGCATCTCCAGGAGCAGAGATTCCCCAGCCAATGGCGAAGACTGTGGTGGCACAGGATGTTCCCCTGGAACCCATGGAACACCATGACAGAACGGATATCCACACAGCAGCCCACGGAGGATCCCGCTGGGACACAGGGATGTGCCCTAAATGAAGCTGTAGCCCACAGAAAGCCTGTGTTGGAGCAGGCTCCTGGCAGGTTTTGTGGCAAGACCTGTGGCCCACAGGGGACCCATGGTGGAGCAGTTCGTGAAGGACTGTCTCCTGTGGGAGGAACTTCACACTAGAGCAGGATCTCTGATCTCTGTAACTGTGTTACATCTTCTATAGGAAGTGGTTTGCCTGAATATTTTGTCTCTTCCCACGTATTTTTTGAGAGCACAAATGTACTTACCTCAAAATTACCCGTTGGAGATATTATTCAACTGTTTTGTCATTTCTTATTGCACAGCAAACATTGAAGAACAGTCTTTACTGTATCTGTTCCATTAAATTTTGGATTCTTCTTGAACCAATTAATCCAGCCAGAAATATACACCTACCTGGAAATATTTTTAAGAAATAGGAGTGGTCCAGTGCTTGAGGAACATTCTTGTGTCTCTGTCTGTGCTAGGAATTGTGTTAAACTGAAAGCAGTGTTGCTGGCATGCAGAGAAAGAAGAGAATGAGAATGAGTCAGTAATTTCTTTACTCTTTTACAGGTATCTGTAAATTAGCTGTTTTAGAAAGGGTTTGCCAAGCTTCAAGTGAAAAATCTTGTACTTTTTAAGGTCTACCATATCTGGATTAAAGACAGCCCATCTTTATTTACTTAGATTGCTTTTCTGGCAGGGCAGGGAGAACAAACATACACTTAGATAGAGTTTAGTTGAAGCATTGTAAGGGAAAAATGCTTGCAACACCTGAGGACTATGCTACCCTGTAGATCTTTGCAGTAAAACTCTTTCAGCTTCCCAAGCTTAAGCTTGCATTTGTAAAATGCTTTTTTTTTTTCCACCTTTTAACTTTGATGGACTCTATTTTGGTGGGATTTTTTGTGTTACTGATGTAACCTGCAATATGCATTTGCCCTTAGTGTAAAATATAAAGAAATTTATGGTATCTCAATTTATGTCTGGTCAAGGCAAGAAGGCAATTCGTCACTTTTGTCACATTGCATATTCACTATAACAACCTATTTACATGTGACAGTTAAATGCATGTAAAGAAAACTCTGCGTGACTGATGCATTGTAAAGGCATAAGAGAGATTTCTGCTAAGCCCATGGGTTGGTTCCTCACAGGCTTTGTTTCTGCATTCTACCTGTAGACTGGTTCTGGATTGGTTGTATACCAAAATGCTCAACAGGATTGATTTTAAAAAATATGTATAGATTGAGGTCAATAGAAAGTTCATGCTGAGTTCAGGAAGATTTGTATCAAGCCCTCAACCTTTGCTCTGCAAACCTCTAGAGGTCTTTGCTTATCAGTTCTTACCATTTTACTGTCTTCTTTCTACAGAGAATGAAATATTAATTTCCTTTCTTCAGCGAGCTTTGTAATTTATCACAATTTACCACTTAGAAACAGTAATGTGCTTCTCCTTTGTTTACTAGTCAGACCCTACTCTGGCATTAAATTTTATATAAGTATGAGCTTGCAACTTGGAAGGACTTTAATTTCTTTGTTTGTTTCTTTGACAGAAAAGCTGTGTATTGTCAAAGAGTACAGAAGGCAAGCTAAACATAAGTGTCTGTGTGTAGGTGGAAAGCAGCTGGAGGTTCCAGCACTTTCAGTCTTGGGTCCCTTTTCTGCAGGAATGCCAGCTGGGTTCCCGTTTATAGGGATCTGGGGAGGTGGCTGTCAGTCCTCTTGCTTTATTCATACAGAGTTTGAGAAGGAACAGACAATTCTTGGGCCATAAAAATACCTGTTCGAACTTCCCTTGTCATACTTAATGATAAGATTTACCTGCTCCAGTTCTTTTCTCATCAATATTTACTGCCTTTTGTTCACATTTATGCTGATCTTTTTCTGCTTCTCTCTTTTCCCTTCCCCCTCTCCCTCATTTCCTCTTCTGTTTTTCTTTCCCTGCCAAGTTGCTCTTCATTTTCATTTTACATGTTGCCTAGAACACTTTCTCCTGAGTTTTTCTAATTCCCTTTTGATTAGCTTTTTATTTTGTGTAGAGATTACATATACAGACAAGAATGCTTAAAATTTAGATGACTGTTGGATGGCTTCCTAGCACAATCTGAGCTTTGCATGCCAGGATTTATGTATACTACCAAAAATTGTCTTTAGGATAATGCATAGTGCTCCAAGGCACTTCCCTCATGTTAACTGGGTTCTTGAATCAAATATTTTTCATGTGAAGTGGTAATAACATTGTGAAGGGTATGTCTGCTCTGGTCTGGATCTTTTTGCCATGTTAAGAATGAAAAAGCTGTCAATAAATGGCTAATTTAATGAGGAGAATCAGTAAGAACAGGATCCCATTTCAGAAGGTTATTGAACAGAAATGGAAAATTTTCTGAATGAAGTCTGGTATAGTTCCAGTGCTGCTACCTGCCAGGAGACAATAAAATGCAGTTACAAAAATACTGCTGTTGTTAAAGAAATGCTGCAACACAGCATCAGTATTTCAGCTTACAGAAAGGCTGATGTGTACATTAGCATCAGGAATAAATGCTGTTTCATGTAATCTCAGTAGCATATTAAGAGGAGTGTTTAGAAAATAGGAACCCTCCCCCAAGTGCTAACATGATTTTGGTACTGTGAACACACATAAAACCTTCAGTGGGGTAAGAATGCCAGCAAAATCACGCTCTTCCACCCCAAACAAGTGAGATGTACTTTAAAACTCTGAAGGGTTCAGACCTTTGAATTCCTGTTTCTACGTGCCATGTTCTTTGGTGCAGAATAACCAGTTATTTCCTACTATGTACAGTTTTATCAGAGAAAACAGCCTATAGAATATTTTAAGCATCTGCACTGGAAAATAAAGAGGCTTCAGTTAGAAGACACTGGAATAATTTAGAATGCAAGGAGATATTGTGATATCCTTGATCAAGACAGCTATGGCAGAAGACTTCTTTTTCTTAATTTCTTGGGAATCTAGCTACTTACAGGTACATTTCTTAAAAAAAAAAAAAAAAGCTTGTATCCTCTCTGGTCTCCATGTACCATTGACAGACTTCCTCTTCCTCCCATCCCAGTCCACTTTTATGCACATCCATGACAGATACAACATTTCGTAGTTTTTTTGTTTGCTGTAGTGTTTTTATAGACTACATTATTGGGAGCAGCCATGTGCCCTCAGCCCCTTGTGTTTGCCCCAGGAAATCCTGGGAAGGGCTTTGGCATTTCCTATGGGTTATGTTAAACCATGCCTAATCTGCAAGTGATATGTAGCAGGAACTGGTCTACCACAGATGCCAAGACCTGCCTGGGCTCTGGCACAGCAATCAGTGTGACTGTGCAGCAACAGGGCCCTACCATGTTCTAGGCTGGATTGGTAAAGTTGTAGCCACAGGGTTAAGGGAATTGGTTTTGTGGTAAAGTTGTAGCCACAGGGTTAAGGGAATTGGTTTTGATTTCTTTTCCCCCTCTTTTCAGAACCTGTGAGACTACATTTGGTGCATCGTGTCAAGTGTAAGAGAGGAAAAAGAAACTGTCAGAGGTTTTAGTTTTTTCAGTCACTGCTTTAAAAACTTAGCATCTTAAACACAGATGTTGTGTTGCTTAGGTTGTATGGGTTTTGTTTAAGTTCAAAATTTAAGTCTGAAATGCACATTGGATCTGACTGTAGAAGTTGGCTTTGTAGCTTTGCTTTCTTTTCCCTGGTCCCCTCATCAGTTGGATTACAAGGACCCCTTTGCAGAGGGACTGTTGCATTCACAAAGTTAATTGCCTTTTTTGAGGGCTGCTGGGAAGGAAGATGGTCATTGCTAGGGCTATGGCTGCTTTGCAGTTATCCTGCAAAGTTCCTTCCTTCTGTGCATTTCCATGATGCCATGCTGACTGTCCGTGGCTGCTCTTTCCTGGCTCTGACAGTTGGTTCCCAGTAATTCTTTTCCCAGTTGTTGTCCCATTCTTCAAGGTGGAATAAAATGAAAATTCTCCAGGTGCACCTCATCCATCTTTTCTGGAGTCTTTTTATTTAAAAGCTTTTATTGTTCTTATGTTGATTAGTGTCCGTAGTATGAGCTGCCAGCAGTAGTGTGGGCTGTGGGGTTTTCAGATCAGTTTCCCACACCTGAAGTGAACAGTAATAGCACCTCACAGACCGCCCTTGGAAACCACGTCCTCAGTTCAGGACAACTTGCTGCATTTCTATCCTTGCAAGAGGTACCTATGTCTGAACTAGTTACTAGAGCCTCCCTGTATTATCCATGATGAAAATAGTCTCTTCTAGGACATCATTCAGCTGGTGAGAGGAACTGCATACCTCAGTGGAGAGCATTTGGTGACAATCATGCGTTCCAACATCATGTAGTTGATCAGGTGTCTTCCCAGAACTGGTCCTGGGAGTCCAGTTTGTTGGTTTGGCTTTTGTGAGCCCTTAAATAGGTCACTGAAAGGATGATGAAAGTATTCAAGTAAAGGAGAACATTTTGTACCTTGACCTTTCCATGTTTCATTGAGGAAATACTGAAGCATGTAGTGAGAATTCTCAGATAAGACCTTGACTGGCCTTAATCCCAGTCTTTATGATCTCTTAAAAGTCAGTGCTGCTGAAGCATATGAATCTAAACTACAATGGCACAGCAGAGACATCTATTGCAAGAGAACATTTCTGATACATATATAGATATATATATATGCCAAAAATTAAATGAAAATGGCATTTTATGTATGGGAGGACTTAGAAAAAGCTATATGATCTATTGCAGCACTCACACTGATTTAGTAGTTTCTTGTTATTGGGGGAGGGAAAGGGCAGAATGCTAGTTTAATTACGTGAACATTAAAACCATAGCTAAAAAGATCTGTGCAATAAGTAAATATTTTATAATTTCAATTTACTTTAACAACGTGAAAAAGTACTTTCTCCTCTACCCTAGGCAACTTCTTAAAGTTGGGACTTCATGAATAACTAATACTTTCTGTTTTTACAGTATATTCACTCATCAGGCATAATTCACAGGGTAAGTGGAAACAACACTACAGATGTTTATATTTTGATAATGTGAGTGATGTTTGTTTGTGTATAAGCTTTTGGTTTCTTCTTCAATAAGAACAAAAGATGGCATGGCTACATCAGTGTAATACAGCTTCAATTTGGATTTCTTAAGTTACTTTGTGAAGTTGAGTTGTAAGTCCCCACAAGTGTCTAAATTGAGATGGATAAGAGCTTTTTCTGTCTGTCTGTTTGTTTGTTTTAATGAAGATTAAACTTCTAAAAACAATATTTAGATTTTCTTTAAACATCATGTTAGTGTTCAAAGCTGAGGGGGGAGGAACCATAGAAACTGAAAAAATTGTCCAAACTTTTAAAGCCTTGAGAACCTCAAATTTTTATTGCAATAAATTAGAAATTTGATTATTTTTGAATTCTTTCTGTGTCTAAAGTCTGCTTAAAATCATTTTGTACTGTGAAGGAGTTCTGAATGATGCTCACATGGTACCAAGCAGCATGTCTTCCCCCAAAACTGCATCAGAATAGTAGAAATTGTCCATTTGTAATAAAATATCAGGAGCACCATAGGAAGTGTACATTGTAAAGCACCTTTAAGCTGGACATGGAAACTATGCAAACTGACAAAATAATATAATATAATTATATTTTTATTTTTGCAACTGCTGTGATCATGGTCCAAATTTACCATTGCTTAGTCTTTTTCTAATCTCCCTCTTGATGGCCCTTGAACTTACTGGTTTCATTAGGTTCTTTGCACCAAATTGTTTCACTCCCAGGCCCCTCTGATCTTGAAGCATCTTTGTATAAAACAGGCGGATGCCTGGTAAAAGGTTTAGAGACAAGATACTTTTAAACATCTTGTGCTAAAGTGTATCAAACAAAGGTTTGAAAAAGCTGAAGGAAAATTCCTTTCTAAGTCCGTACATCTGAGTCACTGCTGTTGCAATATCATCTTAGTCATTGCCAGTACACTTCCCTTTTGCTAAACTGAACAACTTCTGAAGATCATTACAAGTCCCTATGGTAGCTAAAGAGACTTAAGGGAATACTTTTTTAATGTTGCAGTTCAATGGACTTTGTTAGGAACCTGATTTTCCCACAGAAGAGAGCATAGGATTTCACATAAAATCTCGTTTGATTCCTTCAGTAATCCTTCTAAGTCTATCAGGGTATGCAAACTTTATAAAGTATATATTGATATGCAATATGGACAATCCAGAAATATATATGTGAATTGTTAACTTTGTGGTATTAGTATTAAATGCAGCAAATTTATGGTCAAACCCCACTCACAGAAAGATGAGTGACCTGCTTCACTGGCAAGTGTTTTCCTGACTTATAGCAGAAAAAAATAGTTGATTTTTCTGGGGGAGGAAATATACTAGAAAAAAGCCAAATAGATGCAAATTTGTGTCCTTGTTTGTGTGATTTGTTATGACATTGTTTTACCTGTTGCTGTGCAAAATAGTTACATGAAAGCTATAAAACCAGAAAGAAAGAAAGACAGAAAGAAAGCAGGAAAGAGTGCTTTATTGTGCTTGCTGTAAAATTAAAAAAAAATCACATCCATTTGAAATCTGGTTACAGGATCTAAAGCCTGGAAACTTGGCAGTAAATGAAGACTGTGAATTGAAGGTAAGGTATGTTTATTTGAAAAAGCAGTCAGATGTATTAGAAGACAGAAGACATCAGTTGTAGACATGCTAGCTGGTCTCAGTAATGGGCCAGGCTTTTAGTGCATAGGCTTTGAGGAGTCATGGAGAAACAGGGAAACACGGGAAAAAGAAATGGAAAAGGATTAGATGGGCAATGGTAACTAACTCGGAAAAAAAATTACGAAACACTTCTCCGCACGAGTATTTTTCCCATCTGTCTGACTTGCAATATATTATCACCATAATAATTAAATACTTGTTTAAGAAATAAAACCCTAAATAGTGAGAATCTATTTATCCCCCATTTGTATGTCCTTGACTGACACAAATGTGCAATTCAGAATAACAGCATAATAACCCAATTTCTTAGATCATTCTGGAATCAAGCACAAGAAGTGGCTGTGCCTGAAGTTAGAGGCTTTGCCCAGGATGTCTCAGCTGAAAACATCTAGTCCAGACAGGATGTTCCAGGAAGCTTGTACCCAGTGCTAGCAGGGGAGAGATCAGGGTCATCTCCAGGATGTAGAGGATTTCTGATAAGGAAATCAGTGCCACAGGTTATTACATTCATGACATCATTAGAGTGGTTGCTGACTTGAGTCTCTCCAGGGGGGTGACAGGCAGTGTAAGAGCTGAAACTGCTCCTGTGGGTTTGGTGTTGACAGCAGACCATGCTACAGCTGTTTGCCCACACCAAGGGAAGGTGCATGTCAGTAATAGTAACCCTTTTCCTGTATAATGTGTATGTTGCAATGCATACTGGTATATTTTTTATGCAGTGACTCAACTAAAAGTACTTTTCAGGAAAAAATCATTGATGGTTGCAGTCAGATAAGAGCTGTAATGGAGAACAGTGTTTATGATATGTTGCAGCTAATCACTTTAGGGAAGCATGAAAGGAATCACATACTGCTCACTGTGAATGAGAATATCTTATTTCTTTGAAAGTGTTTTCTTCTGCATTGTTACAACTATCAGCAGTATCAATTGCATGTAGGCTTCAGTGTATTTTGTAGCAGGAATATATAATTTCTGCTTCATTTTTGCTCTTAACTGAAGTAGTAAGAAAAAAATTCATTAAAGGGAGACAATTCTGAATTCAGTCTCTTGTAGTTCACCTATTAGCTGTTTCTGCTGCTACACTGCAAAGAGGTGCCTTTGATGGCATTTTTTGTCTTACCCGGTTGTTGCTTCTCTGGAGTAGGACAAGTATTGGTATGCAGCATGCCTCCCTTTGTCCTACCCATCAGGGCTTTCCTCCAAAGATGGGTTAGAAGGACAGTGCACGCCCACACCCCTTTCCAGTATGGAAACTGGGCTTAGCAGGCATTCACCCTTGGAGACCAGGGCTGTAGCACCTGTTGCAGGAAGTTATCTGTTCTGAAGTGTAGATGTTGCCACTTCCTTGGAAATGTTGTCAGTAGAGTCCATCTGCAGTAGTAATTCTTCACCTTTGCAATATTTGTCACACCAAGCCTCATTCTGAATCATTGAGCTAAAATACTAAACCTGACCAGTTTTGGTTGCAGTTTCTGGCATGTACTGGAAATCTTCCAAAGCCTGTTAGAGTAGATAATATTTGTACTTCAGTAATAATTATGCAATGTACCATGATCTAGCAAAAATGCAACTATTTGACTGTGTAGAATGACTTTGTTATAAAAAAGCCAAATATTTATTATGAAGTAGGATTCTGTAGTACTCAACACTGTGTATTTTAGGAATATAGCTTATTCTGGTGAGTGCAACCGTAGTAGCCCCAGACTGCTTCCAGTCCTCAGTTAACTCTATTCTTGTATTTAATTTTTTATTAATTTTCAGAATTGCTTTTGTCACCTATCTTCTCTCAGCTCCAGCAATCTCAAAGGCCAGTCAGGGTTTTTCATTTAATTACAAAATCGAGCCATATCTTCTATCCAGTGCTTGAATTGAATCAGAATTGGCCTATACATCCTCACAAAACAACCGTGAATTAGAATGGGTGCTTTTGGGTCTAGATGTGTAATTACATTTAGATCTTATGGCCAAGGTTTCTTCCCTAAAAGAGACACAAGACTTTATGGGAGTGGTTCAGTTATGTGAGAATTTCAGCTTTGAATAAATAGAAAAATCTAACTCTACCTGGTGAAAGATCCAGAAGATCAAAGACTGTGAAGCACACCCTTAATTAAATAAAATAAAAGGTTATACAACACTGCAAAAGTGGTTTTTAGCATACAACATACAAACTATATGCTTGCATGTAGCTATTGTAATACAACTTTTTGCTCTGAGACTGACCTGGATGTTCAGGGTTCTGTGATTTCAGAGTTTTCTTATCTCATGTAAAAAGCCATTGTCTTCTTCTGGGTTGTAGTTGGCCAAATAGTGAGTGGACCCCAGGGTGATGGGGGGAAAAAGAGAATCTAGAAAAAACAATTGTACGTTTGTCTTCCCCCAGCTGTGCAATTACATTTTGAGATGCAGGCCAGCTCTAGGACATTCTTTTGTGATATGATCTCCTGATCAATATCTACTTATTTAACACAATTTTTTTTCTGTTACTCTGGGCATTTTTAATCTTTTAGATAAACTGAGGGAAACAATCCTGTATCAGAACACAGTTTTGTGAAACGAAAAGGAGGAAATGTAGCATTAAGCTTTAGTTTTCATTTCTTGACTCTCAGGCCATAATTACCATGTCCCTGGTCATACCATAAGCTCTGATATCATATGCAGAAGAAAAGTGCAAATTTGCAGCTAGGAACTACTGGTTGTCAAAAGGCAACTTCAGCTGACAAACAGAAAACAAACTATAACTCATTGAAAACTGCATAAAAAATATCAGGGTGAGGATTTTACTAACACTGAAGGAGTTGGGCTGACTCCTCCTGTATACATCCATTTCGGTGAAACGGGTCAGATGTTACCCTGCCCTGAGAGCACACTCTCAAAGTTAGTTTATGCAGGCATGGGACCACACTGACAGTGAGAGCCCAGCCTTTTCCCCTCCATCTGTGCACTCAGCAGCTTCCCTTGCATAGGCTCCAGTGGCAGTGAGGTTGTAGCCAAGTTGGGACAGTTTCTTGAATTGGTAACTAATTAATAGGGTCTCAGTTTTATTTTTCACAATGAGCTTTCTGGCTCCCTTGTCTGATGTTCTACATGGATATGGGAAAAGTGACAGTAAAGGGTGAATGAGGAGAAATAACTGCCCTTTCTGTAGTCTCAAAGTTACAAGTTATTTTTGTTATCGTTACTGAAGAAAGTTAGGAAAATTAAGTTTGCTGAGTCGAAGGAGAGCTATCCTTGAGGAGCTGAGAGGGATTTGCTCTTTCTTTCATCATTCACTGATTATAAAAAGGATTTTCAATCTTGTTCTGAAAATTGGTATGTGAAGATAGTTGTTGAAGTGATACCATGTTAATATTAAGTACAAATAAGATATGCTTGTTCCTGAGCTTAATGAATATGTAAATGAAAATAAAACATGAAGTTAAAACAGAGCACACAAAAATTCTTGCTGTGTTTTCTACTTTTATAAAACTACAAAACCAAATTATATTTTAGCTGTTTCCAGCTCCACATGTCATAAGCCTTGGTAGAGAAAATGCCTAAAAAACTGTGACAGAATAGATGGTACCACATCTGGATTTTGATCTGTTATGTAAAACTTCTAATTTTCTTTCCACCCTCCCTGCCATGTTACTGGGTAAACAATATGTGCTGAATATGTAGAATAAATTGGAAAGTCATATATAAAAGTGTATTTTGACAGTGCAAATATTTTGAGTTCAGTAAACCTTCAGCATCTAAAGAATCAGCCATAATCAAATACATTTTATTGGTAAGGTAAAAATGTCTCCCTTTGCATCCTATTCTTGTTTTTTAATTGATTGGTAATCAGCAGTTATGGGGAAAATACAGAAATGGTATTTCAAGTATGGCAATAAAGATAACCCATACCATTTTGTACTTTTAATCTATGAATGAAAATATAATTTTCCTTTCTGTTAGTGCCTGGGAATGATGAAATCATCCTGAAATATTTTAAAATGTTTGTCAGGGAATGATGAAACTATCCTGAAATATTTTAGAATATTTAATTGTAGAGAGCATTACAAAAACATCACTTTTGGTATAGTAATACCCAGGTGCTCCTAGTAAAAACTTCTACCCTGTCAATGTACATGTGACACCTGATACACATGGCAACTAATGGCTGTTCATGCAAAGCCGCATATTCGGTTGTCTGTGGGTGACGGTGATTCATCTTGAACAGACTTCACTTGCTCAAGCCCCATGCTTCTTGTTAGAAGCATGGATTTTCTGATAAATACAAACTGATTGTCTTTCCAGGAGCAGAATTTTCTTGCTATTGGCTCCATCTTTTGGCACCATCTCTTAATGGTCCATGCAGGTGGGCTTTCTTAAGGCAAACTTGGTAGCAGTTGACAAAAGGCCATAACATTCACTTTTAATCTTGCTGCTGTACACGTTGCTGTATCTAGAGATAAATATCTGAGAATCTTAGAAATAAGCTGAATTGTGCATAACCCTATAAAAATTGCACTGATCTTGCATTTCTTACAAAAGTTTTTCTGTAGTTGACACTGGAGATTGGGAAAACTCAATGGGACTAAACGATGATAATTCCTTACTCTTCTTGCAGATTTTCAGTGTGACCTAGAGGAAGTCTTCCCTTTGTATGATTTACTCATAGAACAGAAATAACAATACTTCCTTACTTCAGAATACTATTGGAACACACCCTTGAATAATTGTGCCAACTGGGATATAAGAGCAATGGATACCATCTTAGACAGGCGCTGTTTTTTTAGCTGTATGATGGTGATTCTGTGGTCAGGGAATTTTTTGCATTGAATGTGTCCATTACCTTTTTAATTAATAAGTGATTAATTTATTATTTTCTTTGCTGGCTTTGCAGCTTTTGGTGTTGCTATAGGAGTATGTAACTTAAAAAAAAAAATTGTGCAAAGCTCCTTTCTACCTCTGTCTTGATTTTTAAAAAAAGGACAAGACACTTCAATGAGACAAAGATACAAAAATAAACCAATCTCTGCAGATTGCTCCAGTTTGTTTTTTTTTTTATTTTCCACAGTTGTAAAGTCTGGCTGAACTAGATAACTAGTGTCTGATCAGGATATTCTTTGTGCTTTCACTACAGATTCTGGATTTTGGATTGGCAAGGCATACAGACAGTGAGATGACTGGTTATGTGGTTACAAGGTGGTACAGAGCTCCAGAGGTCATACTTAACTGGATGCATTATACTCAAACAGGTCAGCATCTCTTCAGAAGTGTCTTAACAGAGCTAAAGCATTCACTGATTTAGGCAATATATAAACAACCACTTGATTCTGAAATGAGTGGGAAAATAGAGGTGAAAACGATGATATAATTATGCAAAATTTCCTTGTAGATAAATTTCAGGTAATCATGTGGTGGTTGTGAGTTTGTGGTTGTATATATATGTATCTTCTGAGAGTAACAGAAAGTGCCAAGGTAATTGGAAAAAAACTATTTAAATGTATACAGATGTAACAGTTTGGTCACTGTTCTTGTGTTCCTGCAAAGATGTGCTGACTCACTCAGAGGAAAATGGCAGACAGAGGGAATTCAAATAACACTGGGATAACTGTGGAAGTTTTTGAAAGCATTGAAAATTTACTTCCCACATGCATCTGCCTGTTACTGAGAGACTCACTCTGCATATTATGAGATTATCTCCAGTTTGCTCATTAGAAAGTCTGGTAGTTCTACCTTTGCTGTTCATGATATTTGGCAAGGCACACATTTATTTTATAACAGGTTGTAAAGGTAATTTTTATACTTCTTTAAAATATGTTTTAAATTAAACTTTATGCACATTTAAACGAACAAGCATTCTGCAATTTAATGTACCTCCTGGCCTTTTTTTCAGTTGACATCTGGTCTGTGGGCTGTATAATGGCTGAGATGATAACAGGGAGGCCTCTGTTCAAAGGAAATGATCGTATCCTTCATTGAATTTATGATACTAATGTAAGAAAATTATGAGAGGTTCTTGTGTGACACAGTAAGTCTGTTGAAAAATTGATGAGCATGAATTGAAATTAATAGTAAAATGGCTTGCACCTTTCTCGTTAAATGATTATTTCACATCTGTACCACTTTTGCACTTCTGTCAATTAAAATTTGTATTACTGGGTTTTTTCAATAGAGGGGATCTTTGAATCACATCTCAAATCATCAGGTAAAAGGTTCCACGGTAGTAGAAAGGCTATATTTATTTTTTTAGTTACAGATTCTAGAATGGTCACAGAAGATTCTGCTGTAGTATATGGCTTATGTGCACAAGCTAGTCCATTTCATGCTTTTTGAGGCTTTCATCAAAAAGTGTTATGTAAGTAACACCTAGTAAAATGTAGATTTACAGAAAACATTTAATCTTATAATTTCATTGCTGAGCAATGAAGAAAATCGTTAAGATTAAGCCATATTTCATCTTCAAGTGATACTTCATTGACAGTAGTAGTTGTAATACTTAATAGGGGACAGTGTTAATAGAAGACAGCAATAATTTTTGACCTTTTTTTTTGTTTGACAGCTCAGCCTAATCATTTTGCGCTGCTTTCTCCCTTGTGGAATTGCAGTCAATAAATCACTTACCTGCAAATACTTGCAAATTGTTTACAGAATCAAAATTGCTTAATTTTAGTTATATTTGTATTTAAGTACTTACATGTAATATTGGGACTTCACTGAATGGATCATATTATTCTCATTTTGTAAAGAAAAACATTCAAGAGAAAGATTGTGTTCACCAAAAAAATGGCAGGGACTATGGAAAGGTAGAATACATTGATTTTTTTAGGCTGTACAAGTTTTAAGTATGCATTAGTTCTTAACAAGAAAATACTAAAATGCCTGTCAAAGAACAGCTGTTGGCTAACACAGCATTTCTCTACTGATGCAAACCTTGCGCTTTCTGGTATATAAATAAGAAAACAAATGAGGCAGAATTTTCATGGTGCACCGTAAACATGAGAGTGGAAGAGCTAGTATTTTAGTCATACTGGGTTCTGGAGATTTCAGAACTACTGGCTGAAGTTCTGTGTTCTATATTACAAAGGAAATTATCCCAGTATAATAGTCATTGCTGGCCTTTGAGTATATGATTCAGTATTACCTATTGTCAGGGAAATGCTGCCGTGGGTTCAGCTGTGGGTAGGTGAATAAGAAAGCAGCTAACTTAGAGGATTTTTGTTTTAGAATTCTGAATAGGTTATCCTGCCAACTTGGTACAGATTTTATTTATTTATTTAATTTCATTAGCATTATCCACCATTGCCTTTTTCTGCAGAGGCTGGTGGAATCCTCATGTGTTCTGAGCTCTGATCTAGCTTCTCTCTTCTCATCTGCTGCTCTTACCAGAGCAGCAAGCAAATCATACAGCTCTTCTCTGCAGCATTACCATCCTGTAAATATAGTGTTTCTTCTTTGAAACAGCTAAAACTGTTGCTGACAAATCTGTGGTGGGTTAGGACACAGAAGGTTAGGGAGTGTTCTGATGCCTCACCCCAATGTCTCCAACATCTCAGCATCAAGCTAAGTATGTGGGAAATAAGGAATAATTTTTTTCCTCTTGATGTTTCTCAGTGTGGAGAAGAACTAATGCAGACTGATTTCCTCTGATTTTTGTTGGTTATCACACCACCTTATGTTCCCCGTGACTTTTCCTGCCTCTATGTCACCTAAGTATTGGATAGACCAGAGCAGTGTGTGCAATACATGTGTTGATTGTTCACATCCTCTATTACTTTTGGACTGATTTCTGTCCAAAATTATAGAAGAGACTTGATAACATTACAAAATTTTGAAGATTATTCAATTATGTGTTCCCAAATTATAGTATTATAGTATTTATTTCAGGTGCTTTCAGTGTCTTTGCCTTTTGCAAGAAAAATGGAGGACTTTCATATTTTATAAATCTTCTGTTGAGATTTTTTTTTACTCCAACAGAAAAGAAAAGCATTAATTTTGCAGGGTGAAAGAATTTGTTCCTTATTGCTGGTATTCAGATCTGGACCAACTCACAGAAATAATGAAAATAACAGGTACACCAACTCAAGATTTTGTTCAAAAATTGCACAGTCAAGATGTGAGTATTCTGCTTCGTCCATTGGTTTTACTTGTCTTAATTTTACTTGAGCCATGTTCAGTTCTTAAACTGGTGGAGATAATATATACTGACTACTGAAATACCCCTGAAGGTACCTCTCTGCCTTGAAATGCTTTACACACCCACAATAGCTACTGGAGATGGGGGTAACACAACAAAAAATTATCAGAACAGTTGAAAAAATCTGTATATTTAAATACTTCGAGATTCTGGTGTGTACCATATCAACAGTTGAGCTGATAACTTACTGCTTTTATTGGAAAGGTACTGAAAGCATAAAGATATTCAGAAAACCCAGTTTTTGCAAATGTCTCTGACTGTCTTTCTTGTTCTTATGTGGATGTCCTTCTAGGATCCCCAAGCCCTTACTGCAAACAATCTATAACTATTCTTAGACTAACTGTACAATTTAAATACTAATGAATTACTGTATAAGGATCACTTGTAGAGATTCCTGTAAAGTCACTATGACATTTTTTAAAATTATTCATACATATTTATTCTATTAATATATTAAATATGGAGCACTAATAATTAAAGCTTTACATTATAATTTCTAATGGTTTTAAGGCTTGACTTTTTTTTTAAATTCTGTTCAGCAAGTAGGTGAATATCATTAGGGTTTATGACACAGAAAAAACGCATGCATACAGTGTGCTATCAAAGCATTATTGAGCTACCTATTAAGCATATAGTTGATGTTGTCACATTACAAAGGCGGCAATGGTCTAATTTAATATTCATGTTTCTTTTGAGGCAAAAAACTATATCAAAAGCCTCCCAAAAGTCCAGAAGAAAGATTTTGCATCCATCTTGAAGTATGCGAATCCTTTGGGTAAGACAGTTTGTTTGGATGTGTACAATTTTGTCTTGTGTTTCCATTGGAGGCAGCAGCAGTATCAGTCCTGTGATAGGTGATGGGATGGTTCTCCTGCTATTCTATCTCTTGCTTTCCATTATTCATAGTTTTTATTGTAGTGGCTGAACTTTGTGAAGTTGAAACCTTGCCAGGAATCAGTTTCTTAGAAGTACCAAAAAAAGAAGTATCTTGGGGTTTAGGTTTCAATCCAGCACCTGCTTATTGGTTTTACTTGAGCAGCTTTCCAAGAGCCCTGGTAGATTAAAGAATTTTCTCTGTATTGTATTTTCCCTGTATTGTTTCTGAAATACAATTCTGAAAGCTCAGTAGGATCTACAGTTGAAATACAAGGAAATAGAAGGCTGAGATTTTAGTAGTGGAATTAATACATCCCAAGAAACATCTGTGCATTCCTGAGAAGCACTGGCTTGGATTTGATATGTGTAAACAACCAGAAGAGCATACCAAGTGTGCATAACTGTGATATGACCCAAGGCAGCCAGAGCTCTGAGATGACTCCACTCAAATCTTATCAACTTCCCAGTGACCTTAACACTCACAAAGCCAGTTTTATTAGAATATGAATTAGGATAATTGAATCTTTGCAATTTAAGAAGTAAAAATTTTAGTTTCAGATACTGTAGAAATAAACTTGATTAATAAACAGCTCTTACCCTGAGTACATGGTTAGCTCACTGACATTCTCAGCTACAGCAAGCTACACATTTCCATTTAGTTTTTAGGATGTCTCTTCTTATCCCTTCTGTGGCCATCTGGCTGCTTCTGATCTAGAAGAGAAGGTTGGAGAGAATACACAACATGGCAAGCAGCAGTTGAAGCATTCTGTCCCACACTTCTGCCTCTACTTCCTTTCAGCTGTTCCACCCAAACTGGGAAAATCCTGACAGGATAGAAAAACAAAATAAATCATTCATCATACCTGTTTACACTAGCCCATTTTGACAGTCTAACAATGGACCTAATCCAAAATCCCCTGGAGGGGAACACACAAGATTTTAATGGATTATTTTGGCTGAGATCAAAACCACATAGCAGATAAGGTCAGCTCTGAAATTCTGTGCATGGACAACTGACTTGTCTTAGTGAACTTCAAAGTGTGCTTGGGCTTGGATTTGGTCACGTATGGGGCAGTTCTCATTAGCTGTTCACCTGTTCATTCTGCTGTTGTCAGGTGTTGATGTATCTTAGAACCACAACATGGTGGCAGTGATGAAAGACACCTGGGAAAGCCCCAAGCTCAGTGGTCCTGAAGCCAGAAGCTGAGATATTATATGTATTGCATGCAGAAGCAAGGGAGCACCTCTGCATTGCATCAGGCTTTGTACACATCCCACTTGCTCAAAGAACTATTTGTCATGCAGGTGGGCCCCACTGGCTATAGAATGGACACCTCTGCTTTATAACTCCATGTATTTATTTGAAATACCTCCAAGGCAATGTTACTGTGTACAAGTGGAATCAGTTGCGTGATTTGAATACACTGTTTGTTTTCTGTGCAACAGCTGTAAACCTTTTGGAGAAAATGCTGGTGCTGGATGCAGAGAAGCGAATCACAGCAGCTGAGGCTTTGATGCATCCTTATTTTGAACCAATTCATGATCCTGAAGAAGAAATTGAAGCTGAGAAATATGACGACACATTTGATAACATGGATCTTCCGCTAGATGAGTGGAAGCGTGAGTTTAGTTTTGTGATGTTTTCAAAAATAACCAGATTGAAAAGCCATCCAGCAATAGGAATGCTCCCCTTTACAAATCACCTCCTCTGCTTTTGATTGAACAGAGTAAATAGACAGCATTAAGGTAGAGAAACACTACTTATCAAGTTCTGGTAAGTACCAAGTCCTCCTGGGATGATCCCCAAAGGTTTCTTCTCTACCTCATAACATAGACTCTCCTCCTTCTCCTCCTTCTTCATGCATCTGTCCTCCCATCTTCTGCAACATAGAAAAGAACCTATTTTTGTAACATGCCTTCCAGTGGATAGGACAGGCAAACAGATTGACTGCTGGCTCTATTGGACTGCGATGGTTGCTGGCCTTAAAGTTATGTTCTCTGAGGGAGAGAAGATGTATCTATGTCAGCAAAGATTTAAGTCTGAATCTTGTTTTCATCTGATGTTTGTATTTTGCCTTTTAAGTGAGGACCTGACTTTTAAAGCTGATGTGCTCAGTAGCTCTTCCTGATGATATTGCCCACTACCCTAAAGTCAATGCTCGCATCCCTTTGAAAGCACCTATACCATTTCAGTATGAGGCTGCCTCTTCAAATCTGAAATGGTGAAAAAATGATCCTTGATTCCCTTACTTTTTGAACTCTTTCTCTCTTTTTGCCTGAAGAGGTCTCTCTCTTCCTGAACTAGATCAGAGCCCAGTCACGGCTGGGGGTTGTACCTTGCTCATTCATGTCTGTGCAGCTCCTTTTCTGATTGGACCAGCAACACTATTGTCTATTCTATTGTTTTCCAGGTATTACACATAAAGAGATACTGAACTTCAAGCCACCACAGACATCAGACTCAAAGGAGACAGCAGTGTAATTGTATGACTCAATCTTTTCAAAGCTCTGAAGAAAGCGTGAAAGTTGTAAATGTTTCTGACATTTCAGGTGTATAAAACTTTATAAATAAACTGTACATAATCTGTTTCATCTGCACTGTAAGAAAGAGCAATGTTTTTTACTCTGCATATGGAAGTTGGTCCCTCTGGGAGTAGCATTTCAAAAATATCGACAAACTTATTCCTGCCTACAACTTCTTCTGCACAAAAGGATTCAAACTGCAATAAGCTCAGTGCTGTCCTCAAAAGAGCAGGTAGGACTAATTCTTCAACTCACAGACCACAAGAGCACAAGTTACCCCCCCAAGCAAGCTAAGACACAGAGTGTGTCAGAGATGTGCTGTGATTGCTCTCCAAGGGCATTGAACCATCTTAAATGCAAGAAGCATTCGTGTGATTTCCTCTGGAATATTTCACTCTGTTAAGAAGCCTGGGAATGCTAATCATCTTCTGCCACCTCAGCAACTGCAGTGGGTAGCAGAGACACAGCCCAAATGAATGCCTGTGTCCCCTGTCCTATGTGAGTGGAAGAGAACCTGATCTCCAGACAGTTCTGACAGATCTGGGCAAGAGGCAAAAAAAGCAGGGAAGTGTCAATGTGGATATAGTCTATCTGGACTTCAGCAAAGCCTTTGACACAGTTTCTCACAGCATACTCCTGGATAACCTGACAGCTCACTGCTTGGACAGGGGCACTCTCTGCTGGGTTAGGAACTGGCTGAAGGGCCGGGCCCAGAGAGTGGTGGTGAACGGTGCTGCATCCAGTTGGCAGCCGGTCACTAGTGGTGTCCCCCAGGGATCAGTGTTGGGCCCAGTTCTGTTTAATATCTTTACTGATGATCTGGATGAGGGGATTGAGTCCACCATTAGCAAATTTGCAGATGACACCAAGTTAGAGGGGAGTGTCGATCTGCTGGAGGGTAGGAGGGCTCTGCAGAGGGACTTGGACAGGCTAGATAGATGGACTGAATCCAGTGGTATGATGTTTGACAAGACCAATTGCTGGGTCCTGCTCTTTGGCCACAACAACCCCCATGCAGCACCACAGGCTGGGGACAGAGTGGCTGGAGAGCGAACAAGCAAAAAGGGATTGACAGGAAGCTGAACATGACCCAGCAGTGTGCCCAGGTGTCCAAAAAGGCCAATGGCATCCTGGCCTGTATCAGGAACAGTGTGGCCAGCAGGTCCAAGGAAATGATTCTTCCCCTGTACTTGGCACTGGTTAGGCTGCACCTCAAGCTCTGTGTCCAGTTCTGGGCCCCTCAGTTTAGGAAGGATATGGAGGTGCTTGAGCATGTCCAAAGAAAGGCAATGAGGCTGGTGAAGGGACTGGAGCACAAGTCCTATGAAGAGAGGCTAAGGGGGCTAGGGCTGTTTAGCCTGGAGAAGAAGAAGCTCAGGGGAGACCTCATCACTCTCTACAACTACCTGAAAGGAGATTGGAGGGAGGTGAGGGTCGATCTCTTCTCCCAGGCAACCAGCAGCGGGACGAGAGGGCACAGCCTTAAGTTGTGCCAGGGGAGGTTTAGATTAGACATTAGGAAGAAATTCTTTACAGAGAGAGTGATCAGACTTTAGAGTGGGCTGCCCAGGGAGGTTGTGAATTCATGGTCCCTGGAGGTATTTAAGAAGAGACTGGATGTGGTACTCAGTGCCATGGTCTAGTTGACAAGATGACATTGGGTCATAGGTTAGGCTCAATGATCTCAAAGGTCTTTTTCGACCTAGTTGATTCTGTGATTCAATGTCCTAGATTTTTTTTAAAGTAACCAGTGTAGCAGGACAAGATTTTACAAACACAGTAGGTAAACAGTCACTGCATATACACTCATTGTCAAGGTATATTATATTTTTCTCTAAATACAGTGCAGTCTGTATAACAGACTAGGGATCAAGGATTTCCGGGGAGAAATTCTTCAGATTTTCTAAAATTTTGTAAGCTCTAGCATCTTCGTATTGAAATTATTATCAGGAAAATACATATTCTCAGAGTACATACTGGTTATAGAATCAGCAGTGCTGATTTTAGAAATAAAGCTGCATACAGGTCACATTATAGAAAATTAAATGAGGACCAAAATGCTGCACTGCACCTGTTCATTGCGAATACCTGCGCCAAATGGTTTTGGTCACAGTGTACAAAGCTGTTACCAGGTGCAGAGTAATTTTGAACTCATCTAACTTGGAAAAACCTTCAGACCTTCTATTGTGAGGTGCCTTACCAGAAGGAGTCAGCTTCCTGGTGGGATAGATCAGTTACACACTTCATGAATTCCTCGTTACTGTTCTCTTACTGTATTTTCCTAGGTGCTTAGTTTGTAAAGGTCTCTGAGAGGTAGGAAAAAGCAACTGGCAAACCTTTCTGAAGAATTTCTATGAGAAATTTCTTGTCTTTCTTAAAGGAAATGTCTTTACAATTGACTGGATGTGGGTTATTCCCCATGTAATATGCTGGGATGCACATCCACTGGTCAGATAATGTGAGAAATATGTCTGTTCTAGAACAAGCAGCAGTCACAAGTATTGAGGCCATGTTGCTGAGAACACAGCTGCATTGGGCAGGACACGTCTCCAGGATGAAGGACCACCGCCTCCCTAAGATCCTGCTTTATGGTGAACTTGCCACTGGCTGCCGCAACAGAGGAGCCCCGAAGAGAAGATACAAGGACTCCCTGAAACAACATCTCAGCCTTGGCCATATTGATCACCATAACTGGTCTACTCTGGCCTCCAATCAGGAGGTCTGGAGACACACCATCTATAACGCTGCTGATGCCTTTGAGAGCGCACGCAGGATCACTCTTGAGGAGAAAAGACAACACAGAAAGAACCATGTCTTGCCAATACCATCCAAGGAGTCTTTCTGCTGTGCCTTTTGCAACTGGACTTGTCTATCTCATATCGGCCTCTTTAGCCACCAGTGCGCTTGTAACAAACGTGGGTAGAGTCCTTCCCAAATCTTTGTTCGTGAAGCCCAGCCATGATGATGAGCTGGGGTGTGTTACTACTAAGTGAAACATATGTGAAGGAAGACATTTGACCTTAGCAGGTAATAACTGGAAAAGAAGTAAGAAATTACTTGGAGTTTTTTGGTTTAATATCCAATATAAACCATAAGTTTAATCAAGGCATAGTTATTCTGTTTCTTTCAATGAATGTTTAAGTTAAACACCTGTAAATACTAGCATTTGTTAAAAAATTGTGACTAGCATTAATTAGCTGAGATGGACACCTAGAGAGACTAAATAGTAACAGAAACCCTGAATTCATGTATTTGACAAGTCATTAAAAACTAGTTTCAGGAATGCATGAAAAAAAACAACCATAGAATGTAAATTGAATCAAAACATTTTTCCACACTACAGATCGTGGAGGAGGGCACACTTAAGAGCCATAACCCATTTTGCCCTATGGACTTTCTGCTTGGCCTACACTTCTATTTTAAATAGGAGCTTTATTTTTTACAGAATAGATGTACTCTCAGGATTGTTGTCTGTGGTCCTCTTAAAAGTCATGGGAGAAAAATGCCTATTGAAATTAGTGGCCTTGATAGAGCCTGCCAATGGAAAATATCAAAAACTTATTTGAAAATGTTGTCCCTATATTTTAAATGGAATTCAGTGTCCTAAATTCTAGCAAATGCCTTGAGTCTGGAGATTATGCAGATGGCTCAAATGTTAGTCAGACTTGGAGGGAGCATTTTTTAATTGAAAAACTCCTTTGCTTTGTCTTCCTAAATGTCAGTGTTTCAGTGGACATTTTCACTTCCCCACCTTCACTTTAGTAAAGTCAAGCCCTAAAATCCTCTATTGGCTGAGGCGAACTTTTTCCTCTCTTAACTTAGCATTGCAGAGGCAGCTAGCATGCATGAGAAAGACATAAGAAGGAAATGTTATTTTTTCTAGATACTGGAGAAATACAGAACTCTTAAAATAACTGAAGAGAACACCTTGATCCATATGTCAGCAAAGATGGAAGCACTGCTGTGCTGTCTAGTCAGCAAAAAGTCCGGAAGGTAAAATAATAAATGTGGAAAGTTTGTCACATCATGACAAGAAGTTTCTGTGAAGAGATTGAAATCTGCAGAAATGTCTCCAAATGGCAATAGAGATTATCAGTATAAATAGCTCATTAAAAGAACTGGGAAGTGAAAGCAGAAGTATTTTGCATGGGAAGCAGCAGCTACTCCACAGGGAGAGACAACATTTCCTAAGTTCCTATTTGCTATTTCTACTGGTGCTAAGCAACTCAGGAATAAGAATCCAATTTCTGTTTGCCTTATAGAAAAATTTAAATACATTCTGCATGGACTTGAAATGTATTGTGACAAATAAAGTTTGGAAGTTTGGTTTTTGCATAATAATGGTCTTATTTTCCTCATATGTATTCCCAAATGTATAATCAGTCCTGAAAATATTGGAACTGTATGAAACTAATATTGTAGGTACATTTCATGTAATATGAACTGCTGATGTAGGTTCTTTTGGCAGTCAGTCAGATACTAACCTTTCTTCCATTTTCAAAACTTGAAGACAACCACAGAGCTGATCTGACTGTACTACTGCCATCTAATTATTTCTTACAGCATCTTGGATTTTACCAGACATCTCTTTGTTCTGAAGGTTGGGGTTTCAGTCCTCAAATGCAGTTGTATTTCTCAGCCTGATTTTAAAAGACAAAGTCAGATTGATAGTCATCCAGCATATACATCTTTGAGTGGGAAGTTTGAGTTAACAGAGTTCCAGTAGGATATGTGGGACCCACGTGCCCCCTGACTGTTTTAGAGCACTTAAGTATTAGTCTCCATTGCACTGAAGACTTGTCATTCATGTTGAATTTCAATAATGTGTTATTATGGGTCAGATGTGGCTCACAACTTCACTTCTTGATGATTTGTTTTGTTTTGTTTTGTTTTTTTTTAATAAGATAACACTGAGGTATGTGCTAATGTGTCCTACAAAACGTGCTCTGAAGATGTACTTTTTTCTTCATTTGGCATTATCGGGCACATGAGCTGGATAGGATTCTTTGAGCTTCCTACTTTCTGATCCACTGTTCAAATACAAATACCATTTGCTTCTGGTCTGCTTCAGCTAAGGTTATCAGAGAATAAAGCATCTGTTAGATGATGTCATTCACTGAATCTTGGTATGACATACCAATGTATTTTGATGGTCCCTGCAGGTGCCACAGAAGAGGGGCTCAAAACACCTGCTGTCTCTCTGCTGATTAATTCTCCATCTCCTGCATGCACTGAAGGCAACTGGTTGTATAAGTCAAACAATACCAGAAGCGGTTTTGTGCACAGCAGCACCTAAAATCTCCTCCTAAGTCTTCTTAAGAATTCAGAAGTCTGAGTTGGATAAAGGGAGAAGGAATTCTATCATAGACACTCCTTGAAACTGCATGAATAACCACTTAATAAGCAGCTCTTGTGCACAGATTATTTGCAGCCTGTGGGATAGTAACATAATGGTCTCAAAACTTCATTTTCACCTAACAACCACCTGCAGCGCTGTGGCATGGGAATGATGCATGTTTTTTAGCTACCAGGATCAGCATCCCACTGTAAGGAGTAAATGAGGACAAGGAAAGTGTTTTAAGGATTCAGAATTTTTGTCTGCTGCTATCTTGCTCTGTAATGGGAGTTTCTCTGTGTTTATCCTCATTATATTTCCAAGCTAGAGTTTTCTAGTTCTCTCCATGGTCTGCTTCATCAGTAATATAAAATAAATAAATA